CTTAAAGATTATGTATAAACATATATAGTCTTAAAGATTATAACTTAAATCTATCATAATTATTTTAAGTGTGCAGTTCATGACGTTAAATACTCACATTTTTGTTCAACCATTGTTAGCATTCATCCACTGAACTTATTCATGTTGCATAATGGAAACGACCCACTGAACCATAGCTCCACTTTGTTCCCTCCCTCCAGTCCCTGTCATTCAGAATTCACAATGTTCTGTTTCTTTGAATTTGATTATTGTATATACCTCATATGACTGGAACCGTCTAACGTATGTCCTTTTGTTAATGGCTTATTTCATTTAGCCTGACATCTTCAAGTTTCATCCATATCACAGCATATGTCAGAATTTCCTTCTATATGTGTGTGTACAGGTAGCACATTTTGTTTTTCCTTTCCTCCCTTGATGAGCACCATATATTGCTCCTACACTTAGGCCATTGTGAACAATGGAGCTACATGTATGAGTACACAAATATTGTATGAGCGTAGGTCCCTGCTTTCTTCTTTTGCACATATACCCAGATTTGGGATTTCTAGATCATATAATAATTCTAGTTTTAAGTATTGAGGGATGGCTATACTATTTTCTGTAGGGTCAGTACCATTTTACCTTTGAACTTGGCAGCACAGTTCTCCCAATGTGAGCGATTCACCAGAGTGAAAATAACCAGGAAAAATAATCTGCATTTGAATAAATGAAAGTGAACTGGTTTGGAACATTAATTACACCTGCAAAATTCCTCCACCTTTGTCAGGTAATATCACCTAATCACAGGACCAAAATCAATGTTATTCACAGTTCCCTCGCACTCAAAGGGGATTATATGTGGTGTATACACCAGGATGAGAATTCTGCATGCCAACTTACAATTCTGCCTAATATACTTTCCTAAACAAAAAAGACATTTATGAAAAGGATGATGAATGGTTTCAGAACGAATGCGAAGGCAGAAGGAACACCAAAAGTAAGCAGGAAAAAATGTAAGGCAAACAATAACAAAGAGATCATGCTATGAGACAACTCTGATAGAATGACAGTCTTGGTGCCACTGCCACAAGATAGTAATTTTCATAACAACTTGTAACTAGCCTCCAAGAGGACCCCAAGCATCCTCGCCTCCTGGTATTCATACCCTTTATGGAGCCTCTGTACTACGCTGCATGACTGAGAGAATACAGCACAAGTAATAATCTGTCATTTCTCAGATTAGGTAATAAAAGACACTGCGTCTGCAGTCATGGTTGTCTGTCACTCTGGTGAATCACTCACCCTGGGGGGATTATGCTGCCAAGTCTGAAGGCACTTAGGCAACTTTATGGAGAGGCTCACCTTGTAAGGAAGTGAAGCCTCCAGCTAAGTGAGTGAGCCTTCACAGAAGCTGATCCTCCAGCCCCAGTCAAATCATTAGATAAATGACTGATACTCTAGCTGCCAGTCAGTTAGGAATATTTTTTCTGTCTTTAATGGTTTTAAGCAAAGACACAAAGATGAAAATAGGACAGAAAGCATATGTGGCTTGCAGGATCAAAATTATTCACCACGTATTCTTTTTTTTTTTCTTTTTATTGAGTTTATTGGTACAATCTAGGTATACAATACAGTTACATTTATCATTGGGATTCTGTACCTTTACATAATAGGCCTTGATTCTCATTTTTTCCCCTTGTCCCTGCCCTCCCTTCACCCCCTTCTCCCCTCCCCATTTACAAACACTTTATTTCCATTTTTTCAGTTTCTCATATTTTTTCCTCTCCCTTATTACCTTTCCCCCACCCTTCCCACTTTCCCTACACCTTTAGCCCTTTACTTCCTATTTCACATTATTAATTATCTCATTAGGATCCTGTGTACTATTATAGTTTTTCACACCAAAGAAACTATTCGGTATTTCAGTTAAAGAAATCTCTGTAAAAATAGGGAATCCTAAAATAAAACTAAAAAGGAAAGTAAAAGAAAAAAGGCAATGATGTAACAAAATAGTCCTTAATTCTGGAGATGAAAATGGTCCCTGAACATATTTAAATTGCTTCTTGCTCTTATAGTCTTATCTTATTCTTTTTTTCATTATTTAGAGAATATTTTATTAGTTTCTGTTATCAAACCCATGTAGATATGACCTTACATATTTAGTACGATGAATTACCCCTGTATACATGGAAAAAAAAATTAACATTTCTAGACCAATATGGCTGTCCATTTCTGTACAATGGCACCACCTATTCTTTACAGTTGAAATTTGCTGGCCCTTCCATCATTATTTCTGGGAAGAATCATAAACTCTTCCTACACCTTTCCAACACTTTCTCCAATTCAAAGCCTTTGGTATGAATGTCCAGTTGGTCAAGCCTATATTCCCAAACCCTAGCTGCTAAAGATCTAGAAGAGAGATTGCCCATCCTTGTTCAGCTTCTGTAATAGGTAGCATTGTCCCTCCAAAATTACAGAAATTTCTCCCAAAATAAAAAATGTTCAAATGCCAATAACAACAAACAAAAGAAGTTGCATGAACATCAAAACCAATCAGATTAGTTCTTTTTAGTACTAACAAAGTCAATTTGTCCAGAGGATGGTGACCTGAAGAGACTAATATTCCAGTCATCACCTACTTCGGTCCCTGTTCTTTGTTTTTTTGCTTTTATTTCAATTTTTAGAAGTTACCCCACATATTCTGACATACACACTTTTGCTTGTAACTGGAAAAAGTTCGTATGCTGGGAGCTCCAGAATTTTACCTGGTAACATATTTGCTATTGTGTGAAGATTATCAGAGAAAAATATAAGGTTCATTTATAATATTTTGTTTCTCCAAGACATTTTGTTACATGAAGATATTTTCCCCAAATATTTTTACTCATGGTATATATTTCATAACTATTGAAAAGTTGTTTCATAATTTTTCACAAGCAAATGACATCAGGATATATATATATATATATATATATAATATATATATATATATATATATATATTATACATGTTTGCTTAATAACAAGAATAAAGAGAATATTTAATTTTAATTATAAACCATATGATTTAAAACTATAAATAATAGTAATTAAGTTTTTTCTTAGCTTGATGTATTACCAAGTATTCCAGAACTTGTGTGTCAAAACTCAACTCTTTCTATTTTGTTAGTTAATAATTAACATTTACTCATTCATTCAGAAAAATATTTATGGGCACTTCCTATGGGCCAAGCCCTGTATTAGGGCTACTTAGGATAATATAATGATCATTTTCTGCAACCAATGATATATAGTGGACAACTCAACTCTATGATAAATTCAGTACTATTAATAATGCAGAAACTTCTATTAAGTGCCTCAGCATTATCTATATTTTCTGTCAAAAGTTAATATTCTGGGTCCAACCAAGACTTTTAGACAAAATATAACTTTACAAGAAATACTATGAGAGATAGCAGATAGTATTAAATAATGCCGCAAGGATTTAATCAGAGAAACAAAATGTAGGGTAGTCTGACAACTGACCTGATGTCTTGAAAAATAGTTCATGTTGTGAAAATCTTTTAAAATGAGCCTGAAAACCCTAACAAACTTAAATATATAAATTTGATTAGGTTCTGATATGGGAAAAATTATAACTGATTATTAGAAAATTTCAATTAAGAGTTTCATTTTAAAAGAATATTTAGGTTTCATTGTTGATTTTCATGTTCTAAGAAATGGTAATAATGTGATTACACAAGAATTTAAGTAGATGCATGCATGGAGAATTATGTTGACAATGTTTTTTATGTTTCTGTAAAATAAAAACAAAATAAATACAAATTCAAGTAGATAAAGGAAGTTTAGCAAGATTTCAATTTCTGAATTTAGGTGGTCTGAACAGATAGATATTCAAAGGTTTATCCTATATTGTTTCAATGTTTCTGTTTGAAATTCTTCACAATAAATTGTTGAGGGAGAAAAAAAGGACCTAAGGGGAATAAACAAAAACCAAAATCTACTCTGTGAAGGTGTGCTGTGACTCTCTAATAGTACCCTAGAGACATTTAGAAATGTGGGCAGAGCTCCTTTTGGTGAAATGTTAGTGGAGCACTGCTCTGATTTAGTGGGGAGGAGGGTAGCAGGAATGTTATAACCTGTAATGTGTGGGAATTCCCTAAACAACCTTTTTCAAAACAGCATTAGCTCCCTTTTTGAGATGTACACCAATAAATAGCTCATTCCAAAAATATTCCCTTGATCCCATATCCAACTCTAGTGTCTGTTCTTCAAGT